AACAACAACAACAACAACAACAACAACATTACCATCTCTAAATGTCTAGTTAGAACGTAATGCCTGAAAGTGGTCAGAGTTTTGGAGTACCATTAGTGCCCTGGCACCAAAAACACATAGTAAATATTCTTTTATAAATATAATATTGGCAAGATCCTCTGTTTCATAAAACAAATATCAGAGCTCACTACCTAGATGGAAAATTACGTTTTATTAAAGTCAATCTTTAAGTGTATATTATTTTTGGTTTCTCAACTAGGCATTGTAAGAGTGGTGACTAGAAATGTTCTAAGTATCTGGACTTACTTAAAAGGCACTAATTTCAAACAGAGTTATGAGCATTTTTACATTGCTGAGGGTTTAGTTGTAAGCGGGTAAGAAATAGTTTTCACTATTATGTTGACTGTTTCTCCTCATTATTTGCAGCTGAAACATGGACATGGGAGACGTTCCATAATGGTAATCAAACAGTAAGTAGCTTTCCCTTTCTTTAATTGATGAGATGATATAGTTCTCTACTTGGAGAAAAGAAAATATGACTGTAATCTTTCTTTCTAGCCACCTTCTCCTTCACATTCCTCAGCTATAAAACGTTGATTATATCAGTCCTAAGTGTGTCAATAGCTCAACTCATTGCCATTGACTTGGAATCAACTCATAGCTGTCCCGTCAGCTCTAAATCACACAGGGGAAGATACCTCTTACTTCTCCCATGGAGAAGTTGGTGGATTTGAACTGCCTGTTTTGGGGTTGCTGTGTAGGTCACCAGAGTTCTCTTCTAAGTGTATTATTGCTATTGTTGTTAGGTACCATCAAGTCAAGTACAGCCCCTAGTGACCCTATGAAAAACAGATCTGAATTCTGCGTATGCTGTGCTATCCACTCAATTTCTGATATACTTGAGTGTGTTGCTGTGGTCACTGTGTCAATCCATCTGCTTGAGGATCTTCCACTATTCTGCTGACTCTGCACCTTTCTAAGCATGATGGCTCTCTCCAAGGAATAGGTTTTCCTGACAATATGCCTTAAGTATGTGAGATGAAGCGTTGTGATCTGTGTCTCCATGGAGACTCTGGCTGCACTTTCTCCAAGACGTATTTGTTTGTTCTTTTGGCAGTCCATGGGATATTCAATACTCTTCTCCAACACCACAGCTCAAAGGCATCAATTTTTCTTCTGTCATCCTTATTCATTGTCCATCTCTCAGATGCATAGCAAGTTATTGAAAGGAACATGAACTGAATGAGGCATACCTTAGTCTTCAAACTGATCTCATCACTCCTCAATAATTTGGAGAGACCCCTGACTGCACACTTTCCCAGTGCATGATGTCATGTGATCTCCAGACTTTTGGTCCAAGAGTGCTGATTGTAGGACCAAGTAAGATGAAGTCATTGACTGTTTCAGTCTTTTCTCTATCATGAGGTTGCTTATTGGTCCAGTAATGAGAATTTTTGTTTTCTTGATTCTGAGATGCAATGCACTTTGAAGGCTTTTGATTTTCTGCAGCAAGCACTTCAAGTCCTTCTCATTTTCAGCAAGCAAATGTGTATTATCTGCATAAAATGGGTTCCTCCAATCCTGATGCATAGAGTCCAGCTTTTCAAATAATTTGCTCAACATTCAGACTGAATAAGTATGGAGAAAGATACAATTCTAATGCATACCTTTCTTCATTTTACACCATATTCATTTTTCCCTTTTAGTGAACATCCTCTTGGTCTAGGTATAGGTTTCATATGAGCACAATTACATGTCCTGGGATTCACATTCTTCTCAATGTTATCCATAATTTATTATGATCCATACAGTCAAATGCTTTTTTGTAGTCAATAAAGCACAAATAAACATTCTTCTGGTATTCTCTGCTTTCAGTCAAGATCCATTTGACATTAGCAGTGATTTCTCTGGTGCCATGGCCTCTTTTAAATCCAGCTTGAACTTCTGGCATTTCTCTGTTTATGTAATGTTCTAAGTGTATGCAACTGTTTTAAAGAAGTAATAGGATATTGATGTAGGTAGAGTGACTAGGAATAAGGTTTGACACATAGTAAAGTACTAAAAAACCAAGGAAGGAAGGATGGAAGAAAAGTGATGGGGGTGGGGGGAAAAAAGGAAATTGTTGTAATTTTGCCTCTGTTCAAATTTAACAACTGTGTACCACTGTGAAGGATTCAAAGATTATCAGCTCCCTGGAATATATCCTCTGTCTTCTGTTGTCACACCAATGCTTATGCCCAGGAAAAGAATATTTGGAATTTTTAAATTGGAAGCATCATGATGGATGGTGAAGAGGTTGAGATTGTTCACAGCTTCAGTTTGCTTGGCTCTACAATCAACACTCTTGGTACCAGCAGCCAGGAAATGAAAAGATGAATTGCATTGGGAAAGTCTGCTGTCAGAGACCTTTCCAATGTATTGAAGAAAAACGATGCCAGTCTGGAGACTAAGGTGTGCCTGATACAGGGCATAGTCTTTGCAATTACTTGCTGTGCATGAGAAAGCTAGACAATGACTAGAGATAATAGAAGGAGAATTTATGTCATTGAGCTGTGGTGCTGGAGAAGAGCATTGAATATACCATGGACTGCTAGGAGAACAAACAGGTTCATTCTGGAGAAGGTGAAGCCAGGCTCCTCCTTGAAGGCAAGGATCCTAAAACTCCATCTGACATACTTTGGACACGTTACAAGGCAAGATCATTTCTTGGAGAAGGACGTCATGCTTGGGAAGGTGGAGGGACAGCACAGGAGAGGAAGACCCTCAATGAGGTGGGGTAATGAGGATAGGCGTGTCAGAGACAATTAGATTGGCATGGGATAGAGCAGGGTTTAGAGCTGTTGTACATAGGGTTACTATGAGTTGCATGCGAATAGATGGCACATGACAGCAATTTATAAATGATACAGTACTGAAGGGAAATGTTGTAAGCCAAAACTGCTAATCTAAAGGTGGCACTTTTCTTGTTGTTTGACTCTACCAGATGCTTTGTAGGAAAAGAGGGGCAATCTACTCCCTTGTGACTTACAACCTCTAAAAACCCACTAGAAAGTCAACTATGAGTTGATTCCAATACACACAAACATATACACACATAGAAAGCAATACTTCAAACAAAATCAGCATTTTCTGTCTCTCTGCTTGCTTAGATCAAGGACTGTGTCTAAGTACTTTCCTTGTTCTCAGTATTTGACATCAATCATTTTGTATGTGGCTTTCCAGCAGTTAAATGTGTTTGAATAAATGGAAGACTTAATTTCCTTGCCTCCCATGTTTTAAAGGTGTTTACTATTATTATTTTAAAGGGGTAACATGAACTTATGATTTTGAAACAAGGAATTCTTGATTCTTAGCAGGAGAGCAGCTCTGGTGGCCTACTAAGCAAGGAGTTATGTATGCTTCTAACGCAAAGGCAGGTTCTTTGAATCCATTAAATGTTCCTTGGGAGGAAGATGGGCAATATTTTCCCATGTACATAAAAACAACAATAGTTATAAAAAATTAGCTTAACTAGGATGACAGCACTAACAAGTACAGTGGAGTGAGCACTTACTTCCCTGAAGTACAATCCTGTGAGTGAGAAGATACTATCTGTATGTGTACAAGAAGGAACTGTTAATACAATTATTGTTCAAATATAAGCACCAATAGGTAAAGGAAAAAAGAAGAATTTTAGAAAATTTTGAAGTCTCAAATTGACTGAGCATGCAATCAAGAGTCATTAATAATAATTGGTGCTTGGAATGTAAAAGTTGGAAATAAGAAGAACTTGTAGTTTGAAATTATAGACTTGGTAACAGAATTGAGGCTAGAGAGTGAATGACAGAATTTTGTACATTTAATGATCTGTTCATTACAAATACCTTTTTAAAAAGAAAACGAAAATGGTAACTATACACATGGACCTCTGAATCAGTATTATAGTTGTGGATAGAATTGTTGGAGAACTTCAGTATCAGCCGTCAAAATGACTGCTGGGGCAGACTGTGGAACAGACCAATTACTCATGTACTAGTTTAAATTGAAGCTGAAGAAAACAATAAAAAGAACAAAAATATGACCCGTTTGAATTTAAAAACCATCTCAAGAATAGATTTGAGACATTGAACTATAAAAGACGTTGAACTATATAGATCAAAGACCAGATGAGTTGTGGGATGTCATCAAAGAGAACATCCATAAAGAAAACAAAAGATAATTACAAAGACAGCGGATAATGAAAATACCAAGAAATGTCAGAAGATACTCTGAAAATTGTACTGCAATGTTGAGAAGTCAAAACAAAGGGAAGAAAAGCTGAAATGAAAGAGCTGAACAGACGATTTCAAAGGACAGCTTAAGAAGACAAAATGAAGTATTATAGTAAAATGAGTGAAGAGTTAGAGTTAGAAAAGAAAAAGAAAAGAACTTGCTAGGCATTTCTCAAGTTGAGAGAACTGAAAACCAAATTAAAATCTCGAGTAACAATACTGAAGGATGCAACAAACAAAATGTGGAATGATTCAGGAAGCTTCAAGGAAAAATGAAGGGAGTATATACAGCCACTGTACCAAAAGGAATTGGCTGAAACAGAACTATTTCAGGAATTAACTTATAATCAAGAACCAATGGTGATAAAGGAAGAGGCTCAAGCGGCATTGCAGCGAAGGCATTGGACAAAAATAAGGCCCCAGGAAATGATGTGATGCCAATTGACTTGTCTTAACAAACAGATACAGCCCTGGACTCGATCATCAGGTTGTGTAAGGAAATTTGGAAGATAGCTACCTGACCAACTGACATTACCAAGAAAGATGTTCTAATAAAATGTGGAAACAATCAATCAATATCATTAATGTCACAAGCAAGCAAAATATTGCTGAATCCAAAATAATTGGAACAGCCTATCAACACAGAACTACCAGAGGTTCAAGCTGGATTTTGAAAGGGGTATGCTGTTAAAGAACTCTCTAAAGTATTGGAGAGCAATGGTGTCACTCTGGAGACTAAGGTGTGCCTGATACAGGCCATAGTCTTTGCAATCATTTGTTATGCATCAGAGAGTTGGACAATGACTAAGGAGGACAGAAGGAGAATTGATGCCTTTGAGCTGTGGTGCTGGAGAAGAGTACTGAGAATACCATGGACTGCTAAGAAAACAAACAGGTTCATCCTGAAGAGGGTTAAACTGGGCTGCTCCTTGGAGGCAAGGACTCAGAGGCTTCGTCTAACGTACTTTGGACATGTTGCAAGGGACGTCCAGTCCTTGGAGAAGGACATCATGCTTGGGAGGGTGGAGGGACAGTGCAGGAGGGGAAGACCCTCTATGAAGTGATTGATTCCGTGACTGGGGTAATTGGGGTGGGTGTGTCAGAGACAGTGAGACTGGAATAGGACAGAGCAGGTTTTAGGGCTATTGTACATAGGGTCGCTATGAGTCACAAGCGACCTGACAGTACATAACAACAACAACAACAATATGGCACCAGGTATATCATTGCTGATGTCAGATAAATCCTGGCTGAAAGCAGAGAATACCAGAAAAGTCATTGTGTTTTATTGACTCTGCAAACGCATTTGACTGTGTGGATCATAAAAAATTATGGTTAACATTGAGAAGAATGGGAATCTCAGAACACTTTACAGTGCACATGTGAAACCTACACCTAGACCAAGAGGCTCTTGTCCAAATAAAGCCAGGGAACTGAATGGTTTACAATCAAGAAAGATGCGTGTTAGGGCTGTATCCTTTCTCCATACCTATTCAACTTGTTTCCCAAGCAAATACGTTTAGAGTTTGGCTTTATTAAGAAGAATACGGTATCAGATTCAGAGGAAGACTCAACAAGAACCTGTATTATATAGATGACACAACTTTACTTTCAGGGAGGAGGACATGAAACACTTGCTGCAAAAGCCTCCCAAATGGATTCTATCTTAACATCAAGAAGACAAAAATCCTCACTTCTGGGCCAATAAACAACATCATGAAAGAAGGGTAAAAGATTGAAGTTGTCAATTATTTAGTTTTACTTAGATCCACAATCAACACCCTTGGTACCAGCAGTCAAGAAATCAAAAGATATGTTCAACTGAGAAAGTCTGCTGTCCAGGACCTCTCCAAAGTGCTACAGAGTAATGATGTCAGTTTAAAGACTTTGGTACACCTGAATCAACTAATGGTCCTTTCAATAACTTTCTATGCATCTGAGATTTGGATAATAAGTAAGGACGATAGAAGAAGAATCAATGCCTTTGTGTTGTAGTGCTAGAGAAGAGTATGGAATATCCTGTGGATAGCCAAAAAGACAAACAAATATGTCTTGGAGAAAGTGCAGCCATGGTGCTTCTTAGAGGCAAGAACAGTGAAACTTGGTCTTACATAGTTTGGACGTATTGTCAAGAGGGGCCTTTCCTTGCAGAAAGACATCATGCTTGGGAAGGTGAAGGGTCATCGAAAGAGAGAAAAGCCCTCAATGAAATGGATTGATAGACATAGTGATTATAGCAATGTGCTAAAGTGTGTCAGAGACGATGAGGATAGCACAGACTAGGGCAAGGTTCAGATCCGTTGTTCACAGGGTCACTAGGAGTCATATTTGACTCAAGGGCACCCAACAACAACAAAAATAAGGAGACATGGTGGTGATTCAGAAGAGTAGCATTGCTAACTCAAAGGCTTCACCTCTCTGCCATTTCTAATTCACTAACAACTCCAGAGGAAAAATACGGGCACTCTCTTTCCATAACAATGTAGAGCCTCAGAAACCAAATTGAGGGTTCCTATAAATGTGTTACAATTCAAAGGAAAGGAGTAAGCTTTGTGAGTGCTAAGAACTTTATATTTCCCATCACTTATTTTTGTAAAGTTTATTTAATAACATTGCAAAGTTGTTCAGCTGATAGAGCTGAGCTTTGAACTTACAACAAACGGGCTGCAGAAACTTTGGTTCTGAGAAAAACAATGCAAAACATCAAACTCTGAGCATCTTGATATTCCCTGGGAAACGCTGGGGCTTTTGAAAAATGCTGCTTTATTCTAGGGCCTGCTTCTTGTTGTTGTTGTTTTAAAAAATTGTACTGTGATATTAGTGAAGATTTGCAAAACAAATTAGTCACTTAACCCTTCAAAATATACATTTTGTCCTAAAACATTTATTTCAATGCCCACAATGTAATCACACTGTCCCCACATCCTTCCTAAAATACTGATTTCCATTAGTACTTCTATTAATGCTCCACATCTTCCCTTTCTTTAGTGACATTGCGCTGACCCTCCCACACTGGCTAGTGCCTTTCTTTGTTGTTGTTTTGTTCCATTGAGTTATCTTAATATGTGTCTATTATATGTGTGGACTCTGATAGCATAGTCTGTAGGGAGTTGTGCTACTAATCCAAATGTAGAGCCTTTCTGCTTGTATGAATCCATCAGTAGCTTTAAGGAAGAAAGATGAGCAATCTCCTCCCATGTAATTTAAAGCCTCTCTAAATCTGCTAAAGGGTCAGTTATAACTCCCATCTGACTTGAAGGTAATGAGTTTGAGTTTTTAGTTTCTTACCTGATTACTAATTTTCACTCTACTCTCTCTCCCTCCCTTGCTGTCACTGATAACCATCCAAGAATAATTCTGCATGCAAACTTTTCCTTAGCTTTTTATAACCATTGTGTTGGGTCCTTTTTTTTGTTGCAGAGCTTGAGAGAAGGAGTCATTTATCAGGAGCTCCTTGTCCTTCCACAGCATGTCATTGTTAGGTTCTACAAAACCCACTTCAACTCCTAGTGACCCTATAGCAGATGCAACATCTTCTTAGTCTCTCCTCTGCTTAAGCCTATTGTTGCAGTCACTGTGGGAATCCACCTTGTTGAGGGTGAGCCTCCTTCTCTGGCCTTCTATCATTCTAAGCATGATGTCCTTTTCTAAGGACAAAACCCTCTTGATAACATGCCCTAAGTCTATTTATAACATTTTTTAAATAACATTTTTCAAGGGGCCATTATTCCAGAAGTGCATGGCTAAGTTGTGCTCACTAGTTTATCTTGGTCTGGAAGTTCCACTGGGACAGCACAACATTGTACTTACTTATTTACTTTTGCATGCACCATTGAGTCTGAATGGACACCTTCCACCAGGTTTTAAGAGGAAGTATATTGCACAAGAGGAGCCTGCCCTGTGGTTCTACTTTAGAGCTACTGGTGGATTTGAGTCAAATGCCTTTGGGTTGGTAATGTAGCTAAAATGAAGCAAACTAAGGATGGTTACACAGACCCCACAATCCTATAGTGCTGGGAAAGGGTAGCCCTATCCAGAGTCATCAGACTGACTGAGTACACACTTTACATCTGGTCATTTATTGCTTATGTTCTATTTGTATTTTCATAGAAAAATTCCACATTGGCTAATGAGATAAAAGACTATATGACGAGCACAAGAATTGCTGTCTACACTGCAGCAGGGATATCAGCAGGCCTGGCTATGTTTTTCATCATTGCTGCTTTAATTCTCAAATGTAAGTTGTTGGATGCCACACCTATTTCTCTCTGGTAAAGAAGTGTTCTTATAGCAACCAATGCAAAGCATGAGTAAATATAGGCATTTAAACTAAATTTATACCTAAAGGTGATTTGACTAAATTTTCTTTAAGTCTTTCTATTAGTTTCTCATGTTGTTGTAACAAAGCTCCACCTATTGGGTGGGTTCAAACAGTAAATATTTATTTCCTCATATTTCTGGGGACTGGCAGTCCAAAACCAAAGTACTGGCAGGGTTGTGCTCTTCCTGAAGGCTCTAGGGGAGGATTCTTCCTTGCTTCTCTTTGGTTTGCATCATTCCAACCTGTGCCCCACCTACAGATGGTCAGCTTCCTTCTATGTTTGTCTGTGCCTCTTCTCTTCTTCTTTTAAGGCCACCACTTATGTTCTAGGAGGGCCCACTCTAACATGACCTCAGTTTCGAGAATAACAGCAAAGAACTTTCTAAGCAAGTTTCCATTCACAGGTTCTACGGCTGGGGACAGATTAGGATTTCTCTGTGTGTGTGTGTTAGACACAATTCAGTTGGCAACAGTTTATTTAAAGTGGCAAGAAGCTGTACTGCAATCCCAAAGGCAGACTGTTCGAGGCCACCAGCTATGGGTTGCCTCTGACTCTATAGTACGCCACCACCACCACCATGACAATGCAAGCATTGTTTTATTCAGTGTTCTCCCTCTATGAGAGACAGGCACTGTGCTAGGTATCTTACATATATTTTATTCTTATTCCCATCTTCTTCATATAGTATTGCTGTTGTTGCGTGCCTCTGAGTTGGAACAGACTCATAGGGGGCCCTCCTGTGGATTTTCAGAGTCAGTATTTCCCATCTTCCTCCCACAGAGGGGCTGGTGGATTTGGACCATCTGCCTTTGGGTTGGCGGCACACTCTTTACCCACCTTGTTGTTGTCCTGAGCTGCCATCAATCTCATAGTGAACCTGTGAACAACAGATCTGAATCTTGCCCTCTCCTCTACCATCTTCATGATGTGTGTCATGCTCAAGCCCACACTGTTGTCACGTGTCAATCCATCTTGTCAAGGGTCTTCCTCTCATTCACTGACCCTCTACTTTCCCAGCATGATGTCTCTCTCTAAGGACTGTTTCTTTCTGAAAATATGCCCATATTATATTAGATAGTTTCACTATCCTCACCTCCTAGAAGTACCCCGGTTTTACTTTCTTTGAGATAGAAGATCTCCTTGTTCCTTTGGCAGTTCATGGCTTATTCCATACTCTTTAGCAATACTACCATTCAAAAGCATAGACTCTTCTGTCTTCCTTAGTCACTGTCCAACTTTCAGAGTCATGGGAAACAATTGAAAAGACCATGTTTTTGATCAGGCACATCTTTGTCTTTAAACTGACGCCCTTGCTAGGTCACACTTTGGTGAGGTCCTTGACAGCATATTTCTCCAGTGTAACATGTTTTTTGATTTCTTAACTGTTGCTACCATGGGTGTTAATTGTGGATCCAAGTAAGATGAAATCGTTAACAACTTCAATCTTTTCTCCATCCATTATGATGCTGCATATTAGTTTAATACTTGGAGAATGATATCATGCTTGGAAGGGTAGAGAGTCAGTACAGAAGAGGAAGACCCTGGATGAGATGGATTAACACAATGACTGTGGCTTGGAGTCAAATGTGTCAGAGATGGTAAGGTTTGTTCAAGGTAGGTCAAGGCTCAGCGTCATTGTTCATAGGGTTATTATGCATACTGTCAATTTAATGGCATAACATCAACAATAGTAGTTCAGTGATGAGAATTTCTATTATCTTGATACCAAGATACTGAAGGCTGCACTCTTTGATCTTCTTCAGTAAGTACTTCAAGTCTCCTTCACAAGCAAGATTGTGTCATCTGCATAGAGTAGGTTGTTGATGAATCTTCTTTGAGTAACGATGCCACTTTCTTCTTCATGTAGTCCAACTTCTTGAATAATTACTCAGCATACAGATTGAATAGATATGGAGAAAGGATACAACCTTGACACACTCCTTTTCGGATTTCAGCAACCACATTATCTACTAGGTCACTAAAACTCTTTTAAGAAATGATATAGCCTCTTTAATCCATAAATATACCTAGATTTTTTTAGAAAATCCAGCAACAAGAATCAGTTCTGTGAGTTTTTCTGTCGTTCCTACTTCTCAGGCCAAGCTCCCGTGAATAATTTTCAGCAGTGTTTTGCTTGCCTGTGATGTTAATGACATTGTTAGTGTATTCCCATATTCTGTTGAATTACCTTTCTTGGGAATGGAAACAAATACGGATTTCACCCAGTTGGCTAGGTAACTGTTTTCAAATTTCCTGGCACCGACTCATGAGCATGTCCAGGGCTGCATCTGCTATTTGAAACATGTCAGTTTGTATCCCATCAATTCCTGGGACCTTACTTTTTCACCAAAGCCTTCAGTACAGCTTGAACTTTTTCCTTCATTACCATTGGCTCTTGATCATATGGTATTTCCTGAAATGGCTTAGAGTTATCCAGTTCTTTTTGATACAATGATACTGTGTATTCCTTCTATCTTCTTTTGATGCTCTGAGGAAGCATCAAAAGGTTCATTCAATGTTTTGTCCATAGTATCAAGGTCATTCAAGATTGGGCCTATAGCATCTCTAAGTATCACAACCCAAGTCTTGAATTTGTTACTCGGTTCTTTTCAATCTGTATGCTGAGCAAATTATTCAAGAAGCTGGATTCTATGTGGAAGAATGTGACATTTGGGTTGGAAGAAGATTCATCAACATCGTTTACTATGGATCTTAGCTGAAAGCAGAGAGTACCAGAGGAATATCTATCTGTGTTTCATTAACTATGTAAAGACATTCGTCTTTGTTGATCACAGCAAATTGTTGCTAACCTTGTTGAGAATGGGAATCTCAGAACACTTAATTTTGCTTGTATCAAACCTATATTTGGGCCAGGAAGCAGTTGCCAGAATAGTGCAAGGAAACACTGCATGGTTCAAAAAATCAGGAAAATTCTATGTCAGAGATGCATCATATCTCTTTATGAGGAGGAATGTGGCATCAGGATTAGAGGAAGACTCATCAAAAACCACTTGGACTGTGCAGATGACACAACCTTGCTTGCTGAAACTGAGGAGGACCTGAGGCATTTGCTGCAGAAGATCAAGGACTGAAATCTTCAATATGGACTGAAGCTCAACATCAACAAAACAAAGATTCTCATCACTCTCCAATTGGTAGCATCATGATAGGTGGAGAAGAGACTGAGATTGTAAACAATTTCAGTTTGCGTGATTCCACAGTTAACACTCTTGGTGCCAGCAGTCAGGAAATAAAAAGAAGTACATTACGAAAATTTGTTGTCAGGGACCTCTCCAGAGTTCTGAATAGTAACAATGCAGTCTAGAGACTAAGTGTGTTTGATCCAGGGCATGGTCTTTGCAAATACTTGCTATGCATCAGAGAGGTGGACAATGAATAAGGGTAATAGAAGAAGAATTTGAGTTGTGATGCTGGAGAAGAGTGCTCAACATATCACAAGCTGCCAAAAAATCAAACAGGTCTGTCCTGGAGAGGGTAAAATCAAGCTGCTCCTTAGAGACAAGGATTTTGATGCTCTGTCTCACATACTTTGAGCATGTTGCTAAGAGGAACCCGTTCTTGGGGAAGGATATGATACTTGGAAGGGTGGAGGAATTGGGCAAGGGAGGAAGACCCTGGATGAGGTGGATTGACGCAGTGACTGGGGTAATGAGGGTAGATGTAGTGCAGACAGTCAGACTGGCTCAGGATAGGGTAGGACTCAGAGATGTTGTCAATAGGGTTTCTATGAGTCAGAGGGAGGATAGAAGGAGAATTGGTGCCTTTGAGCTGTGGTGCTAGAGAAGAGTGTTGAGGGTACCAAGGACTGCTAAGAAAACAGATTCATCCTGTTGTTGTTGTTGTTGTTAAGTGCCGTCATCGAGTTGCAGGCGACTCATAGCGACCCTATGAAGGAGAGTCCTTGACACTTGGGTGCCTTTCATCCTCTCTCCAAGTTCATAGGGTTTCCGGAGGCAAACTATTATGAAAGTGGACGCCACTCCTCCTTCCACGCATGTTCAGTCGGGGAGCTCCACCCCACTTTCAGTCCTCATTGAGTAGCCAACCATTAACGCATTTGACACATACATGTCACAGTGTTCAGCCTCACAGCAACCACAAGTGACCGCGGGACGGCAACTTTTACACCAGGGCTATACGCCCCAACAACAACATGAGTCAGAGGGAGGATAGAAGGAGAATTGGTGCCTTTGAGCTGTGGTGCTGGAGAATAGTGTTGAGGGTACCAAGGACTGCTAAGAAAACAAACAGATTCATCCTAGAGAGGGTTAAACCGGGCTGCTCCTTGGAGGCAAGGATTCTGAGGCTTCGTCTGACATACTTTGGTCATGTCATAAGGAAAGACCAGTCCTTGGAGAGGGACATCATGCTTGGGAGGGTGAAGGGCAGGCGCAGGAGGGGAAGGCCCTCTGGGAGATGGATTGATTTGGTGACTGGGGCAAATGGGATGAGTGTGTCGGAGGCAATGAGATTGGCACAGGACAGAGCAGAGTTTAGAGCTGCTGTACATAGGGTCGCTGTGAATCGCAAACGACTCGACGGCACATAACAACAACAACAACAACAACAACAACAACATGAGTCACAGGGGACTTGGCAGCACATAACAACAATAATAACAACATACAGACAATGCAACCTTGCTTTGCTGAAAGTGTTGAGGGCTTAAAGTGGCTAGTATGGAAGAGTAAAGACCTTTAATATGGATTGCACCCTCAACATCAAGAAAACAAAAATTCTTACCACTAGACCTATAGGCAACATTATGATAGATGGAGAAAAGATTGAAACTATCAACAACTTCACCTACTTGGATCCACAATCAATCTACTTGGTACCCGCAGTCAGGAGATCAGGAGACGTATTGCAATTGAAAAGTCTGCAGTCTGGGATGTCTCCAAATTACTAAGGAGCAAAGGTATCAGTTTGAGAACTAAGGTAGGCCTGATTCAAACTATAGTCTTTTCAGTCACTTGTTATGCTACTGAAAGTTGGACAGTGAATAATTTTGACAGAGGAAGAATTAATGCCTTTGAACTCTTGTGTTCAAGAAGAGTACTGAATATTCCATAGACTGCTAAAAGAACAAACATGTATGTGTTAGATAACGTATAATCAGAGTTCTCTCTTATTTTTTTTAAATGCTATTTAATACTGTTTTACTTACAAAGTTCATATACATTGTTTTTCACAACAAGTCTTTCCCATTTTCTTTATTCACTTCTCAAATTGTGATTACCCCTGTGGCCATCCTCACCCCTCTGCTCCTAGTCTCCTCCCCTTGGATTCTCATGTACATTTTACCAGTTATCTTTCTTTTTCTATAATAATGGTCTCATACAGTATTTGTCCTTATGAAACTGAGTTAGTTCACTGAGCATAATACCCTCCAGTCCCTCCCAAATTAGGTAGCGATTTTCAAAATCATTGCTCCTGAATGCTGTATAGTATTCTATCATGTAAATGTACAATCATTTTTCAATCCATTTAATTGTGGCTGGATATTTGGGGGCTGTTTCCATATCTTGAGATGGTGAATAATGCTCCTATGAACATTGGTGTACAAGTCTCTGTGCCTCAGTTCTCATTTTCTCAGGGTATATTCCAAGCTGTGAAGCAAAAGACTCAATTATGTCAGCAATTGTGAGGTTAGTACAGGGTGGGACAGGACTCAGACCTGCTGTTGATAGCCATTATGAGTCAAACTTTACACTGTGGGATCTAGCAACAACAAAAACAACAATGTGGTCTATATGATAAGTCATGTACTGGGTATGATTTGTTTTAATCTAAGGTGAGACTAAAACTCAAATTCATTGCTGTATATTGGAAATTGACTCATAGCTAACTCTCTAGCTGGTTTTCAGAGGCTGTTAATCACCCAGGAGGAGATTGCCCATTTTTCTCTCATGGAGCATTTGGTGGATTCAAACCATCTGCCTTTGGTTTGGCAGTGCAATTCCTTATCCATTAGACCACTAGAAGTCCCTTCAACGACTCTACTTTTTTAAACTTATATTTGTTGTTGTTGTTGTTATGTGCCGTCGAGTCACTTGCGACTCAGAGCAACCCTATGTACAACAGCCCTAAACCCTGCTCTGCCCTGTGCCAATCGCACTGCCTCTGACACACCCATCCCGCCATCCCGATTATCCCAGTCACTGAATCAATCCACCTGATAGAGGGCCTTCCCCTCCTGCGCTGTCCCTCCAGCCTCCCAAGCATGATGTTCCTCTCCAAAGACCTCTCCCTCCTTACAACATGTTCAAAGTATGTCAGACGAAGCCCCAGAATCCTTGCCTCCAAGGAGCAGCC